TAAAGCCTTTTTACATCTTACGAATTTTCAGAGCGACTTTGCTAGCAGAAAGCTTTATTATAACATTTTAAATAACAAACGCAAAAATGTGCTTTTCAACTCTATCATGCTATTATACTTTTTTTCTGTTAAGATATATATGAGTTTTATGTAATTGGTTTTCTTCCATGAAATAGCATAGACATTTAATTATTTATGTTTTATTGAATTCTATGGAAAAATAGAAAAATTTATATCATTATCAGAATTTTCGGAACGAATATTAGTTAAGAAAAGAGCCCACTATGTCAAGTTTAGGATAGTTTTCTTTGCCTAAATATTGTTCTTTTGTTTCTTAACGTTTATCTTACTAGTATCTCTCAATACAAATCGTCTCTATACCGAAACCAAACGAATGATCCGAAAAAACTAATTTTTGTTTAAATGATTTACAAAATAATACAGTTAGTTTATCTTTCATAAGGCATAATCTAATATAAATGAACACAGTTGGGATTTTTATTTCATCGTTGTACATAAAAACTCAACATAGCTTTATCTAATTTATAACATTAATGATGATAGTTTAATATTCTTAACAAAAAAGAAACTTATTAGAGAACTTATCTTAATGAAAAAATTGCTTTTATGATGAGATTAACTTTATTAATGACCTAGTTTTATTGGAACATTTACTTTTACATGGATTGTCTAAGTCAGATCGGAATATTTAGATTATTTTTTCACTTTAGTAGTTATGTTTAGAATATTCAATTCTAATAGCTCAGAAGCATCCATATTGTCGAGAGAATTGTTATTGTTATTGTGGTAATCTTTCAAAAAAAAAAACCCAACTGTTAATTAAAAACATTCGGTGTTAAAAAACACAACTCAAGATGATATTTTTACTAAAAGATTGCCTTATTTTGATTGAAATTCATCAATGCAACCATGGCAAATCATTGTCACTCTTTCATACGTACAATTGTTGGATAAAGTTGAGAAAAAAAACTGATTATGTATTATGTAGAGCAAGCTATGATGGCAAATACTTTCATTTTTATTTTAGATTTTAAGAGATACATGTCTCAAGATAAAGATTTGACAATTTTGATCAAACAAAGCATCTAGGTTGTAACGACTTTAAATTTAGTCATATCAAGTTATAAATGAAAACCATGATAAGCGTCTATTCAGATATAGAGTCTAGGATATTCTTGTACAAAAAAATGGATTGTATTGTTGAGGATAGCGTCGAAGTAACATATGAGACAACAAAGTCCACTGATGACAGTGAAACTATTTTAAAGGATAATTTCAGTGTTTGTTAGTGATAATAAAATCAATTTGGACGTGTTTCATTGGATCTTGTAAGTCATCTTTACAATTCCATCGCTTGACATGTTTAATATAATGATAAATTTTTGACAGTTACTTTCTAAGATCATCATCAACTATGTTGTCTGAGAACATTGTGGAGGAGAATTTTATCAGTTACATGATGTTCTTCACTGAATATTTCTGATCAGCCATCTGATTCATTGTGACTTATTAATTCGTTTCGTAGATGCATCGCTGGTTTGAAAGCGTTTACTCGACAACGAAGATTACCAATATTAACGAAACCATCTTGAAGGAACCTTTCCGTATATTTTGGTGATTTAAAATCTAATTTGGACGAATGCCTTTAGAGTTTGAAGAACTTATATTTTCCTCACTATATATATTTACAAAAAATTAAAAAGAAAAAAAATTCAAGCAGATGAACAACAATTTCGAGATGAGTTTCTATCACAACTATTTTGCCTGCATGATGGTTCAAGTAAAATTTTAATAGATGGTGCAAGTTGTATTGGTTCTAGTTTAAGTGATGATTTATTACACAACGAATTATTTTCTTTGATCTGTTGTAATAATGATTCATTTTGTAGAATCCTTAATATCAATTGTTTAAACATATATTGAATATTATCACCACGTAATGCAGATGTATGATAGATAGACATATTATGTAATGCTGCAAAATGTGCAGCTCGTTCCAAAAATATTCGTCGATAATCATCATCACAATCTTTTTCAAATAAATCAATTTTATTGCAAACAAGTATAGATTCTACATGTTCTTTTCCTTTTAATTGTAATTGTTTATACCAATGAAGTTCTACACGTTCCAACGAATCAATATCTGTTGAATCAGTAACTAAAAGTGCACCATGACAACTACGAAAATGATTGTCACAACATGATTCAAAACGTTCCATGCCAGGTATATCCGAAAGTTGAATTATAACAACATATTTGTCTTCATATAATTGATCCAAATAAAAGAAGTGAAGATCAGGTCCTACAGTTACTGAAGAACTTGACTGCATAAGAGTTAATTGTGAACCATATTGAAGATAATGAGCAAGTGTTGTTTTACCAGTATTCGAACTACCAAGAAGACTCACACGAATAGTAAGTTTAGGTTTATCATTCCATGCAGTAGGAATACGACTATAACGAATATTAAATGTAAGAAATTGATTAGAAGATAAAATCATTTTTTGTTGTGCGCAATATTCTTCAATAGCATTTTTTAAATTAAAATTATTTACAAAACGACGATCGTCCAAAGATTTATTTGTTATTGGTGAAGAATTATGATCTTGTAACCAACGTTCTATAGCATGTGATTCATACGAATGACCCTACATTAATATTATATGTATAATTTATATTATTATTGTTGAACAAACTTACATCTTCAACAAGTAAAACAGGATTTTGCATAATTTCTCGAGTTATTGGACAAATAAAATCACGAGGTACTGATAATGTTTCTTGACTGGTCATGGTTTGTGTAATCTATTCCAACCGATGTTTATGTCCAGAACAAGTAAATATAGGAACTACACTTTGTTTGTTCGTCACCTTAGGACAGTTTTTACCCTTTATTGAGTCTCGCTATACTTTAAACGTAATAATATCCAATAAGAAAGAACACAAAAATGTTTTTTTTTGTAATTACTTTCGATTTTATCTCATATTTTCTCTCTTTATATATTTTTTTGTCATGTGACAGGTATACAACTAATAGCTTTGTACAGAATGATGTATTGTATCGTACGATATTTTCTTTTTTTCCTTTGATCAGATATCCATAATGATACCGAGGCATATTAACAACGTAATGAGAAAAAAAACTGAATCGATTTAAATTCATGTAGCCGTTATCATGCATTGATTATTTCAAATAAGAAAAGTTACAGTAATTTAAAAATCGACCGGAAAAACAAGAAATTTTGATATGCCTATGTCACGTTCGATCGAGCTCGACGAGAGAGCAACAAGAATATGTCTAGCAATAAGTTTTCATAGAATAATGCTGAAAGAAACAATGGACAAGTTTAACTGAAAAATCCTTAAAAAATGCATTACAATTAAAAGCATCAAGTCTCACTAGTGTGCAGATGTACGGAATATGTTCACCTTTTGATTCAGTTTGAGTTTATAGAAAAAATAGTTTTCATTGCAACCATATTTTGTAACTATTTTAATTGCGGTATGAAAGCAATCGATTTTCTCAGCATCGCTCAAACGTAAAAGTACGACGATACACAAATTTTTATGATGGTCTCCTACGGATGAGAGAACACCGCTCTAGATTTAGGACTACGTGTATTATGTGAATCCTAATGAACTACGAATACCCTAACAACAATTTGGGGTTCAAGCTTATTGCTGCATAAAGCTGAATTTTTATGATAGTTTGCAGAACTTACACTATGTTTTTCGAAGAAAAATGTAGTTAGTCTGAGTTTCGAGTCAAAGCTTTGCGGCTTCTCTCTTTTCGCAACAGATACTAGCAGCCGAGGACTGAGGTCAAATGTCAATGAGTGTGCTTTTTCTAACAATGAAGAGAAGGGAGGAGTAGAAGAGATACCAATGATCATTGGTGATAGTTCTCTAGCAACCGATGATAACAGACATCAAGCTCCTTTTTCAAAGTTCCTTAGCAACGGAAATCGGTCCTAAACAGTATCAATAAGAAATACTGAGCTGTTCTAGAACACTTGAAAACCTTTCTCGAAATTTGAATGGCTCTAATACGTTTGTGAATGTTCGAAATAATGAAGTTTCTGATTTTTGCATAGATAAAAATTTACATTCAAGATGTCAACGATGATATATCGGGATGCATTGATTTATCACAGTCGTCATTCGAACAACATAGAACGCATGAACTGATTAAGTTATAGCTTTGGAAAATAATCAATATTAGTCTTTCTGAACCTATTGAGATATCTAATAGTGCATTGAGACCTATTGCAGATATAATGAGTATGTACGACAGGCTTATTTGCCAGTTAAATCAATGATTAGATTAATGAAAATGGATTAAAAAACAGAACATGTCTTGTTCAAAATGCAGAAATAAATAAGAGAGATCGTTCCTCTAGCCATCGATTACCATTGGAAAACAACTATAGTGTGCTTGAAACTTTTCACTTGATGTTCTTGTATTAATATAATGAGAATATACAACATGTGAGTTCTACATTTTAGATATCAAGGTGCTGTGTTAACAAGCTTATTTTATAATTTTGTTTTTAAACTGTACGTAGAGATAGACATTACTGAGAATGGTTTCTACGTAAAATTCCAAGTCGAATTTCAAAAATTAATTTTACCGGTGCTCTGTATTTTCAGGGTATTTATGGCTCGTCAGGATCTACACATAATGCTGATAGTATTGGAGTGTGGCTTGATGCTTTTAATGTTACTGCATTTTTTAATTCTTTCTTTTAAGCCCAATTTGTTGTTTCAATGTTAATCCTTGTAAATTTTTTTATAGATGTATTTTTGTAGTGTTCGTTGAGCTTTATCAAATACAATATAAAAATATCGAAACTGAATTCTTTTCTGTATCGATTGTTGAATTACTGACACCTTTCATAGATTATGCAAGCATTAAAAAGATACATCATACAAAGATTGAATGTTTTTATTAATAATTCATATACAAGACATCGGAAAACTCACATTTCTGGCGAAGAACAATTATTCATCTGACAAAATTTAGGACATAAATATCGAATATAATTAGTCTGGCATTCATGATCAAGTACAAAAGCACAAATATGTGTTGGTTCTTGTTCACAAAGTACTATATAAAAAATAAAATACATTTCTATTTTTGAAAAAAGCGTTTTTTTTACCTGTTTCACAGTTATCTCCTGTAAAAGCAGGTAGACAAATACATAAACAATCAGAATTTAAACGTCCACCATGATAACATTGTTTATTTTTACAATATTCATAAAATATATGTGATGTTTTACTTGTTGTATTTATTATTTTGTTAGTTTGCTTTTTGGTTGGTATTGTTGAATTAAAAACTTGACTTCTATTTTGTGTTATCCTAGTCAACATCGAAGAGATTGGTGGTATAGAAAATGTTGATGAAGGTTTCATGTATTCAAATAAGTAATGTTTTGTTTTATTATAAAAATAAAATGGATCAAATGGTTGAGTATTATTATTATAGTTATCAATTAAATCAATAATTGATGTTGTTGTTGTTGTTGTTGTTGTTGTTGTTGTTAATGTGGAGATAAGACTATAATTACTCATATTTACATTTAAGTTCGGATTTAAATTGGTACTAGATGTAAATAACTCTTCATCGATTTCTTCACTACTATTTTCAATATCATCATCATCATCATCGTCCAATAAATGTTCAAAACGTGTAATTGATGGTATTAAAGTTGTATTAAATATTATTGAATCATCTTCATCTAATTCTAGAGTTGATGACACTAATGTTGAAGTCATAGAAGTTGACGAAAGTAAAGTATCATTCAAACTCCACCAATTTAATGTTAAATTTGGTTGTACAGTAGCTAAACCATCAACAATTGTACTACTAGGAGCTATTTCATTAACAAAATCAAAATGATCAATTAGCGTAGAAGAAGTAATAAAATTATTCAAAACATCTGGTGTTGTAGATTCAATAGGAACAAAATCTAAATCAGGGTCGTCCCATATTAAATTATCATTATAGATATCAATAGTTGTTTTCATTGTAGTAATAGTAGTAGTTGTTGTTGTTGTTATTGTTGTTAAAATATTTTCATTTGTTGTAACTTGTACAACAACTGGTAATTGATTATGAAAAATTCCTAATTATCATAAAGATATCTGTAGTTAATTATTATTTTCGAAATTAGGATCAAACTGTTCAGCTTCTGAAACTAAGTGATCCGAAAACACTTTGTTCTATTTTCGAAACGATATATATTTCAATAACAGAACAAAAGAATTGTTCGGACATATTAGAGAATGTTTTCAACAGTTTCTGAGATTCGAACTAGAACTGAAATTATCACTCTTTATTCGAAGTAGATAATAAAAATTTTATACGAACCAATAATGAAATCAAAGTTAATCCCATTGCATCTTTGAAAGAAAAAAAGAAGAATATTTTGATTAGTTTATATTTATTTTTCTTACAAAGACTCTTGACAGAAGAATGCATCTGAACCAAGTAATTTATGAAGACCATTTTTAGCTTGTACTTGTGGCCAAAGTATTGAACAATCTCGTGTAATTACTTCAATATAAACAAAACAAAACAAAAGACATTTGTGTTTGTGTTTAAATGAAAAGTATAATATATTTACAATTGAGATCATTAGGATTTCGAAAAATAATACAACTTGATGGACATGGACGAATATAATTTGATGCATAATGTGGATCTAATACTTCACCACAACCTTTAAAACGTGCAGTACATGAATAACATTGATGCACTTGAAGAGGCAAATATTGTCCTAAAAATATAAATTGTTGTTTTAGATATATGACTAAAACACTCGTGATTATTTGATCAGTCATGATGAATAGTAAAAAAAAGTCTGATTTAGTTTGTTGTTTCAGTGTTCGCTAACCGAATTATGAACATTTTCTCGATCTTTGTCCTAGTAGCATAGGATCATTAAGAAGCTGAAACTTTGTCCACAAAAAAGTGTCATAGTCACTAGAAAAGCTTCAAAATTTGAATCTGAATAAACGCAATCTTATTAAGATATTTATATTTTGAAGAAACAACATTTCTATCTTTATTCGAACCTTGGTGTGTTTCTAGTGACTAATCGAATTTCAGCTTCTCAATGATTCTAATCTAATAGGGTAAATATCCATAACTTAGGAATGGAAGACTTGAAAACATAATCAAAAAAGAATATTTTTTTTTACTTTGCATTATGACCGATCGAATGGCAATAATCGTAAGCGAAAAACTCTATTCGACAGTTGAGGATATTCTCTCATACATTTTGATGAATTCACTATAGGACCTTGAATTTGCTACTTGTTCATATCGTAATCAAACATCTTACATCCAACGTACCGTTTTGTATCAATGAAGGATTATTTGTTGCTACTAGAAATAATTCTTGAGCTGATAAAATAAATTGATTATTTATCATTGCTGTTCTCGTCATTGATATTTCCGGTTGTTCATAAGTACCATTATTACATAAATGAGAATCACAAAAATAAGCTTTTACACCTGGACTTATTTCATGCCATCCAATTGATTTAGGTGTCATATGTCCATATGTCCATGAACATCCACGTATAATTGAACGATCTTCATTTCGAAATAATACACATTGACCATTACATGGTTCGGTATAATATTGAAGAACATTTGTGTAAATAGATGAATCAGGTTGATTACTACCAGCACATTCGGCAAGTGTATTTTGTGAACATAAATAACATCGACCAGCAATACCATTAACAATTGTTTGTCTTGATATAAAAAGCATGAAAACAAAAACTAACAAATGTTGTTCAATTACAATCATTTTTATTGAATGATATATGTTCAGAACTATAAAATAATAAAAATATATTCAATAACATATTTTCAACATAAACTCACGTTTTTAACCTTCATTAATAGATTGTATCATTCACTTTGATTTCTTTCTATTGCAATGACGTGTGATTTGAATAAAAGTTTTCATATATTCTTTCATACTATTGAATTGAAGCTCATAATCCATTTACTAATTGTTCAAAACGTGTTTAGATAACGAGGTCATTGTCTACATGAAATAAGAAAGAATGGTGAACGGTAAGCCTTTTTTATTTATATTACAGGTGAACGAGACACATCATTATCTAATTTACAATCTCACGTACTTGTATTCTCAACAAACAATTGATTAATGAGAATAGAACATATATATATTGATCGATAGAAGTCGCTCAAGGACAGTGATATTTATCAACCATTTTCTAAGAAAATAAACCTCTAAATAAATAAATAAATAAATAAATAAATAAATTGTACAATTAGTTTTTCATAAAAACTATTTAAATTATTTTTTAAAATGACAAGTGAAAATATTTGGTCGAGATTAAATACTGCTCGAAAAATTTCATCAAATTTATATATAATAGCAACATGTCTTAGTGATATATTATATCGTTATTCACGAAATTCATCAATATTTGATAATCTTTCTCAAGCATTATTTTCTTCATCAATTGATCAAATTAAACTATTGAATGATTATTCAAATATTTTACAAAATATATTAAAGTGAGTCATGAAACACACACACACAAAAAAAAAGAAATAATATTAACTCATTTAAAGTTAAGAAAACAAAATTTTAGTATTGGGATTAATAAAATATTTCTTGTTATTCATTAATATTTTTCTTTTCTACTATTATAGGTAAATATTAAAAGATGGCGATATGTGTAGTTTGACGTTAGATAGTGGCTATAAACTTGAAAAAGAAAACACAGGCTTCAAGCTCTATCTGATGACGCTCACATGTCGTTATCTTAAAATGTCTGGAATCCAGCTTTTAGGTAAAAAGCTGTTGATTCTAAACTTATTTTATCATTTATTAATATTGATTTTTTAATAAATATAATTATTGATAAATATTTAATTGAATATTGTAGACAAAATTCTTTACATACGAATATAATACAAAATATTCGTCGTCTATTTCGTACTGATTCATGTCTCAAAGAATTATTTTCAACTATTGTTGATGAATATTGTCAATGTCATGAATGTGATTGTACAATATTGAATAGGTATTAATTGAAAGATAAATTTTATTTTAGTATAACTATCAAAATTCATTTCAAGTTTAATAGTTAAAAGCTATGATTTTGATTTACTTCAAAACAAAATCTATTTTCGTTCATAATTATTGAAATCAAAATAAATCAATGAGAGAATAGAATGAGATTGGATCTTTCCAGCAGTGTCACATATCCAAAATTTTGGAGATGCGCCTACATCTCTTGCCGGAGATACCGCATCTCCCACGGGAGACGCGGAATCTCCTTCAGGAGACGCCGTCATTTTCCATTGAAGACGTATCATCTCTTTTAGAGATGCACATCCCCAGCACCCACACTCACATCTCTTGCAGTAAATGCCGCATCTTCTGCGCTAGACGTGGATGCATCTTCAAAATTTTGGATATGTGACACTGCTGGCTGATCATATCCAAGAACTTTTTGTGATTCAGTAACTTCCTTTCCTTATTTTTGAAGGTATGAAAGGCTTCAATTTAATCGAAAGATTAGTCTAAGAAGTTTGAATATAATTCTACCATTAAAAAAAAACTCAAGTGATCTTGTCAACTAATTAAAAGAATTCTTTCATTAATAATTTTATTTTCTAGTATTGATGATGTTATTCATGATATTAATGAAATACAATTAAGATTACTAATTGAATCAAGTCAATTATCTTGTATATGTTTTCGATGTAGTGATAAAAATCAATTGAAAACTGTAACATTCAAAAAGTTAGAAAAATTTCTTTCAGACGAAAAAAAAAACAACAACTAAATTCTATTATTTGCATTATAGATTTAGTCCATGTTTAGCATTAACAGTAAATCGATTGCATATTAATGCTAAAGATCAATTAATTAATACACAAGGAATTATTTATGATTTAATTTATATTATTGAATTTGATCAAACATTATGTTCGATTTTAAATGTTTATCAACAACAAGGTTAATTTATATTATTATTATTATTATTTTTATCAACATTTATATTTTTATTTAGATATTGAATTTGTCATAGTTGATGGAATTAATGTATCAAATCGACGATCAACAATTGATAGTCAAGGAAAATTTCTTACCCTTTGGATGAGTCAAAAAACTTGTTCTCATAATGAAATACAAGTTCCTTTATCACCATCAATAGCATCCTCATCTCAAATAATACCACAATCAATAGTAGATAATGACAGTTCTAATATTTGTGATAATCTTCCATCAACAGATGAAAATCAATCTGATAATTTATCTTCATCACCAGCAACAACAGTTAGTGAAGGACTATCAGATAATGATACACTAACTGATATTTATTTAACATTACTTCATTCAATGAATAAAAATCATTCAGAAATTGAACATGATCATAGAATTAATTCATTATCATCAAGTACACTCTTGTCAATGAATGATAATAAACAACATAATGAAGAAATTTCATCATCGATTAGTAATTCAACCAATCGTTCATTAAAACAATTATCATCAACTATGAAATCAAAACGAACACATCCTTATACAACAGCTTAGACATTCTTTTTTTTTTTGATTTTAATTAAAAACTATTTTGTATATAATTTACATTAAAATATGATTATTATTTATTTAAAAAACAAAAAAATAAGAAAAAGAACGAAGGATACATTGAGATTAAAATGTAAAGAATTCAAGAAAAACATGAAGAAAAAGTAAAGAAAAGAAACTTTTCTTGCAAGGTTTGTATGTTTTCAGATTATGGCTAATGCCGACGATTTTTGTCAGTTTGCACGATTAGGCCAAACGGTTAAAATTCAAAAATGTTTACAATCACATAGTAAGTTATTTAGATATGTTCTCAAAAATCTTATATGTATTCCTCTTTAATAATTAAGATATATGCTTAGTAGGACGAATGTCATACTCATCGACTTTTGGAGTCGATTTATGACTATGTTAGTGAATTTTTGATTCCGATTTAAGTATTTATCGAATAGTGGAATTTCGACCTGAAGTTTTCTTCATAGATAGGTATGATGAGTTTGAGAATATTCTGAAAGTATCAGTCGAAAACAATGTTCCGTCGTCGAGTTATTAAATTTTGAAGTACACTAGATTTTTTGTAGAGAACGTCCAGTTTTTTTTAGAAATTATAATATTTCGACAAATATTCTTATCGCCTAAAGCTTTCAGAATATATATACAAAGCCATTGGACTTATCTACAGACAAAATTTCAGACGAAAATTTAATTATTTGATTTTTCGGATAATGCCTAAGCCTGAATCGAAAATTCAGTAGGATGATCATAACTTGGTTCGAGAGGCACATGAGTACGAACGCTTTTATAAATTTTCTAGTTTTACTGAGACCTACTTGTGAACTCAATAGAAGCTCAAACTGTGAGTATCCATTCAGATAGATCTCTCGTCAATTTTCGGCCAATTACGGCGTGGGTTAGAGTCAGATCTTTTTGCTCTATCCTAATATGTGTTCAAAATTCCTTTTGAGGTAAAGTTGGACAATTATGGCTCTATGGAATTCTGACATTGTTGTTCAGTTAGCACAATAGTCGAAACTCTTTTGAAATTGTGATAATAATAATTGTTGCTTGGTATTTTATTGCTCATTTTCCACTGAAATTATGACAATATTCACAACAGATAGAACACTATGCGTGTCTCTATCTTTTTTAACTGTTCTGTGTTTTGACACACCTTGCATCATCGTTCGATAGAGTGTAGGTTCAATTGAAAAAAAGACTCATGTTGCTAAAAGTCAGATAGCGAAAAACGGGTTCAACATGCAGGGAACACAAAAAAGGAGTAGCAAAGATATTTTAACTCTTAGTGAAAAGCTTAAAGAAATTCTATATATATGGTTTGATAGTAAAAACAATACTATTAGCGATAGAACAAAAAAGAAATACTGAAGCAAGTTTATTAAATATTTGAAATAATCATTCTAATTATTCACACTAATTGTAGCCATTGAGTCCATTTACCGAACGTTTTTCAATACTCTTCTTTACTCAAAGAATTCAAGAACTTGTTTACAACACTATGCAACAATTTGGAATCATTTCGATAAACAGCAGAGAAATATTGAGTATTGTTATCATTATCAAATCATATAGATAGAAATTTTCTTTTAGCTTTTTACAAAATAATTAAAATATCTATATGTAAACAAATGTTTTTTTTTGTATTGATTAGGTGTTGATGTTAATGCACTTAATTTATATGGTGAATCAGCACTTTCAACAGCTACATATTATAATCAAATACTTTGTGTTGAATATCTCTTGGCAAATAAAGCTAATCCAAAATTGTATGATTTAATTTCTTTTTTTTTCAAAATTAATTTTATTTTTTAATATTTCTTTTTTGAAGACGTCTTGCAGCTGGACATACAGCAATTCATATTGCTTGTCGATTAGGTAATGTACCAATTTTACATATGTTATTATCAATAAAAAAAGAAGAAAATACTAATATTGACGAAGAACAACAACAAGAAGATAAACATGTTTATGAATGTTTAAAAATGAAAGATAATTCTAATTTAACACCTATTCATTGGGCAGCAACACAAGAATCAGTATCAAAACGACAAAAAATGTTTGCTTATCTTGATAAGCGAATGCCTGGTGTACTCGATAGTCGATATAATCTTGATTGGTTTAATTCATGGGCAAAAACACATCCATGGGTTATTGAATCAAAACCTCCTATGTAAAAAAAAATAATATTAAACATATTCATATCATATAAAAAAATTTTTTTTTCTTTAAATATTATAGTCCTTCAATACAGTCTTTACCTAAATCAACAAATTCTGATCCTAACTATCGACAAGATGAATCATCTGAAATCACTTCACTTGATATGACTCCAAAAATATTAGTAAATAATTATGAACGTACTCCACGAGCACCATTAACAGCAACAACTAATAATCCAAAATCATCGAAATTACGTGTTCCACGTGTTCAAGTTAGACTTAATTTTTTTGTGACACACTATCTAATAGGAACGTTGAAGTAAATGACTAAAAATTTGGAATCTTGTTAGTACAGAAGTCAGAAACATTTTCCAGCAAACGTTCAGGTCTCGTTTGAAACGAAAACGTAGATATTTTTTCCGCCAATAATATAGAGATAGACCATGACAGATGGATAGTGTGTATCTTTCTATAGATGAGATAAGCATGTCATTTTTTAATTTAGAAAGATCTTCTTTATTCCTTAAAGTAACTTTACCATCTCTCAAATGTTAGTATAATCTTTAAAAAAAATCATTTTTTTTAACTGAAAAACCATTGTGAGAGACTCATACTCTATTCATAAGTGAAAGATTTTTTTTGTATGAGAAGAATACGACATTACATGTCATTCAATGCATTTTTCAATTCAGATTTCAAATGTGAAGTTAGTCTTAAATAAAAATGTTTCTACGTCACACTGATTCATGCTGACATTATGTAGATGTTACACGCGAAAGAACAGTTGATAGAAATATTGTTCAATTTGACGTTGTGGAAAATTGTACAAGTTCATTATATTGAATAGATGTTACAGTAAAAGTAGCCGATGTTAAAAAGGAATGATATTTTTTGAGTTCCAAGCTGATAGAAGCGAAGATTATCTTTTGCGAACCCATAGAATGCATATAATTTTCTCAGAAGTATTTTCATATTCACAATAAAATTGGTTTCTAGTTCTTACTAGTGGAATTTTTTTGACGAGATTTTCTGACTCATGTGAACGAGAATAACACAGACTTTTATGTCATAAAAATAATTTCTATGTCAGAGTCTACATTACTCTATTTAAACCATTAAAAAGTATGCTTTCAATATTTTCACTTAATATCCACTTGGATATTCATAGTCAGACGCTAGCTAGATACTATTACAGATCGACATCAGCGTTATTGATATACAATCGAAAATTGTATATAAATAATGTCTCATTCTAATATATAAAGTATCTCGTTATTACATTTCTGAAGGACTAAGAAAACTCTCCCTTTTTGTTTGTTATGTTTTCATTTTGGCTTTTTTGAGATCATGATACACTCCGTAGTAGTATGTATCCACTGAATACATTTTTAAGTCGAAAAATTGTCTTTAAACGTTAACAAGTCAAATTTATGTAACAGGATATGTCGTAGCTGTCACAAACAGCTGTATTCACAAATTAAATTTATTTTTTGTTGGATAATTTGTTCTTCAGAAACGTCCGAAAGGAGATAGGGATACTCCTTAAGTAAAATGATAATGAAGAAATGTGTCTCAAAATAGAACGAATATAACGATCTCTCTCTATAATTAGCAAGAGTTGCTATATTGTGTTTCATATTTTTGTCTTTCCAGGATTGCATTAAGAAATTTTTGTTTAAATATAAAATAGGTTGAACAACCTCCACGAGCATTAACTCTACCACCGACACCAATAACTAGTTGTAAAGTAACAGTCACTTCAATATATCATGTTCCAAAACGTGAACATCAACAATTATCACCATCAAAAATAATCGAACATCATGATTTACCTGTAAAAATTAATAAATATAAAATCATTGAGAAAAAAAACTTAAATTTTTTTTTTTCTTTAGACCTCATCACAAAAAATATCAACTGACTCAAATAGTGCTAATGAAAATCTATTAACTCCACGTTCTGATCGTTTTACTTATCGTGCTCGTCGTGTTAAAATTGAACCAACAATTGAGTTTCCTCCACCACCATCTGATATTGAAGATATTGAAAATAACAATAATCAACAACATGATTATGAAGATATGAATACACCATTATCAAGTAAACGTCCATCACATAATCTTCTTTCCAATATAGTTCCATCAATAACAACTCCTTCAACTGATCAAAGTAGTCAACAATCAACAAAACATATAGCTTCATCATTTGGTTTTGATACAGCTATTGAACCACATCATTTTACTGATACAACAATACATTCTAATACAGATACATATGCACAAAATGATGAACAAATTGAACTTGAATCTGTATCATCTAATGATGAAGATAATGAATGTGAAAGTAATCAATTAGATTATTTATGCAAATCAACGTCAACTTTAGGCATAGCTTCACCCGGTGCACATACTTATTATTCATAATAGTATATCAACTTTTATTTTTGTAATGAACATCATGTCAGATATTTTTGTTTTGTAACATACATTTATGAACTACGGGTTGTTTTTTTATTCAAATATAAAGATGATAGAACATTGTTCATTAGTTTTTTGACTTCGACTTGAAGTAGAATATTTGACAAACAATACGACTTTTTATTTAGTACATTGGTTTCTGTCATTTTCTGCTGGAAGAAAAATATTTTTTTTCAGAAAATGCAGTCTAGATCACTTAATACGATTTGGTTTTTACTGGTAGATTGTAGGAACTTGAAGGAAGAAGTTCGGTAGTTGAGTTTTTCTAGTTCCGGACAGAGCCGATCATCAGATTAATGCTTTCAAATTTCTAACAGTTTTCGATGAATTTCTGCCGAAATCATAGACTTCGATAAGAGCTATTTCATTTTGTTCTCTATTTATGCTCATTCGATCGCGCAATCTAAAAGTCTTGAAGAACTTTCTTTGCAGACAATTACTTTTTGTTTTGTTTGTAAGAGCCTGTGAATCTACAGTAGTTTGTTTCTTTTTGAATGAAGCTTCTTGTATATTATATGAAAAAAAAAAACTTCTTCGAGTACATGACAGCCTAATTTTTAGAGTTTTTCGAGATACTTAGGACATACCAAAAGTCTTTACGTAGCTATATCAATTTCTTATAGGATGCTTGAAGAAATTTTCTTTTTATATAGATTGATAGTAAAAACAAAGCTCTACATTTCTACATTACTTGATCATTATTCATCTAATATCATAATTCTAAAATTTCCATTAGACTGGTTTAGCAATGATATGTAACAATAACATTAGTCAATATTGTCTACAATGTGGGTGTGGGTGCGGCTGAGTGTGAGAATGCGTGTGGCTATGCGTTACGCTCACACACCAAGCCCACACTCACACCCACCCATACTGACACCTACATCAACACCCACACTGAAATCAATATTGACTAATGTTATTGTTGCAAATCATAGTTAAACCAGTCTAATGGAAATTTTAGAATTATGATATTAGATGAATAATGATCAAGTAATGTAGAAATGTAGAGCTTTGTTTTTACTATCAATCTATATAAAAAGAAAATTTCTTCAAGCATCCTATAAGAAATTAATATAGCTTCGTAAAGACTTTTGGTATGCCCTACGTACGTATGGCCGGCAGGATTTGTGTGTGGTCGTAGAGATGGACATTCTTAGTGGTCACACTTACATTCATACCCTAGATGAGTAGCTTATAAAATAATGAGAACAAAAAGAAAACAACATTGGTGCTTATAATTTTATGATGAATCTCCTTTTGATCTATGGTAACATGCTGCTTTATTTAATCAATCTAATGAAGCAAGCATACTGGAGAACAACTGTTGCTAATGCAGATTTTAGTAACCGAAAGAGAAGAACTCCGAATGTCTTTTTGTTTGATACTATAGAAAATAAAACTATTGTAAAATCTACTCATTTTTGCAAAGTATTCAAAAGCATCTATGACAAGGATGTGCTATTTCGATGTAATTTTACTTTTGGTCTATGCTTCTGATAGAGGGACTTCAGACTGATAGTTCAAGTTACGAAGAAGGTGATTATTATGTCATGTCTTAATAGTAAGCAAAAAAATACGTATCTATTCAGTCATATCACATGGAATTTCATCGGTTATTAACAATTTTTTTTGACTTTCTATGAAGACGTTCTTGAAGTGGAACAACGTTTTCGCGGATTGTTATAAATGTTTTCTGACAATGTGTTCGACGATAATTTTGTCTTATTTAGCATGAACAAAAGATATCTAGAGTCCTTCTTTTTCGATTGCTAGAACCCACGAGTTCCTAGCTGTTGCTGTTATCGAATTATTGATCTTACATCCATCCACTTCTCTTTAATTCTGGCGTGTACATTAATTTCAGATCGTTCGGGATTTTGATTCGTCTAATAATATCTTCGGATGATTACATAATCAAGTAGGAAACATAATAGTTAAATCGATCTTATCCACATTTACTTGAATTAAAATCAAAAGAATCAATTATGAATCCAGACGAAGAAAAAAAATTGATCGAACAATTACCAACCGAAATTTGGCTTTCTATATTTAAACATTTATGCCAACAAGATATTCAACATTTAATATTTGCTTTTCCTGATTTTCAATTACTGAAAATTGTTTGAAAAAGTCAAGAATTGAAAAACTTTGAACAAAATTTATTTCAACAATTAATACTCAATTGAGTAGTCAAACATTATTTCATTTCTCAGATTCAAATTTTTTTTATCAACATATTGATCAATGTTGTCGTGTTGCTGCCATTTATGCTTTTTTTTCTATTAGGACATAACAAAAATTCAACAACGTATACTGTTCCCTATGCTCGAAATACACATGAAGAATGTGAAGTGAACATGGAAAGATTTCTATTCAATGTGTTTTATAATCGAAATTGTTATGATTCTCTCTATCGAGTTGAACAAAAAGATGATAAAAAACAACAACCATTAATCGATTTAGATCATAGTGTTGATCGTACTTATATGGCAAAGCATCATCAATCACAATTTATTGGACAAGACCTTCTATTACGTTTTCATTTAACAGTAAAAATAATTGATGGACCAGATGATGACTTCGATATTGTCGGTTATGAACTAAAACATACTTTGAATGATAAAGACAAACTCATTGATTCATATATAAATATTACTAATGATGATCATGGTAAGTATGATCCAAGCGGTCAAGAAATATCAGAACATGAAACATTTGGTTAACGTAAATATTTATTGAAACAAATCGAACAAGATCGAGATTCCAGTCTATGTCGAATATTATCTGCAAAAGATATTGCTACTTTCATTTGTTTCTGTGCAGCTAATTGTCCAAATCTAAGCGACGTTGGAGCTTTAATTGTTTGTTATAATCATCTTATTTTTGATTTTGACACACATCAATTAATTGTTGAACGCCTATCCGATGAAATACTACATAATTTGGATCTGAATTATCTTTTATACAACTGTGTTCGAACATTATAACGTTCAATTTCACAATCAAATCCTAGTTTATTCTATCGAGTTAATATTGAAAAATTAGCAAAAAACAACAAAAGGTTTCAATCATGCATCATGTTTTTGTGGAAGTCCAGATGTAGAATTTGATCAATTTTCATGGCTTGATTATACATATTTATCGTATGTTCAATTAGTGATTACTAGGGTCCTGCGGGAACGACTTTTTCCCGTGTTTTCCCGTCCCGTTTCCCGCGGGAATCGGGAACGGGAATTCCCGTGAGACCTTAGGAACGGGAATGCGGGAACGGGAATTCTGGTGGACACTCCGGGAACGGGAACACGGGAACGGGAATTGTACTAAAAATTTCTGTTCCCGGTAAACCCTATGTCCGATTTCTGTTTGCATTAAAATCTGTTAATCTTACAGTATTCGATTTCCAATAACTATTTGAAATATAATTGAAAAGAGAACAAATATCAGTCAACAAAATCAGACAAGTTCATTCAAACATAGATTATGAGAATCACGATATTCTTTACCATCATCGTCGTCGGCATCGAAGTTGGGATCATCAAGATTACATATATGTCAAACTTGAAACTTGAATTCAATTGAAATTTCAAGTTTCAACTGGAATTTCAAGTTTCAAGTTTCAACTG